TAGTTTTACCACTATTTAGCCTATTTATGACCGCAACCCCGGATCATCTGCTTCCTATATATCAACTTAGTTTTTGTATCTTCATTTATTAACAAAGCTAATTGTACATATTTAAATTTTTTTTAGTTAATAATTTTTTTTACTTAGCTGAAAAAATGATATTTTAATTATTTACATACATACATACATACACATATATATATATATATATATATATATATATATATATATATATAAAATTCAATGAAAGGATTAATTCATTACATATATTACTCGAGAAACAAAACAAAAAATTAGAAAAATGCCCAAAAAAGTTGACTAATTAAATAAGTTATTTGTTTAGATGAATAAATTATTAATTATTTATTTATGGTAGTCATAAACAACATTACATTACAAAATCAGTGAAAAATATACATATTTGGACCACTTGGACTTTAAAGCGCATTTCGTTCCTTAATGTTTTTATTGATATGAACGTTGACATCTCTAATACTATCATAATATATAAAAGCTTTGTTATTTGTTTATACTTCTAGTTCAGTTATGAATATAGTTAAATTGACGAATTGAACATTGAAAAGATAAAATGCGCTTAACTTGAGTGGAGCAGATACTACGCCTTCGTGCACTTTATCAGCCGCTTAACCTTCTTACATATTAACTTGACTGCATGAAGTGCATAGGAAATTTAATGCTCAATCAAATTGATTATGATGAATTTCGTCGAGAGATACATGGATATAAATTTTGGGGAATAAACCGACGAAAACAGCGTACTCCTCATCTGTTGGTCCTACATCAAATGGCTATTAATAAAATTTATAGTTAATTTTATCTAATTAACTTTGTTTAGAATAATAATTTCAATAAAATGCATAGTTTCGGAGCCATGTCAAAAAAAGTGCAGAATTTCCATCAGGAACTTCCAATGAATCATAAAAAACTAAAGAGAAACCGACTATTTCGATTTTTCTAAGTACTTTTTTCTTTTTTCATCTAAGTACCATTCGACTGGACTAATTTGATGACTGACGTCATCAGTTTTCAAAACGCAACCAAGTATATCGTCTGTCAAGGTGAATTATCCTTTAGGAACATATTCTTTACGCCATATCAAAATTTCAGCCGATATAATAAAATTTTCTTTAATTAAAAAGAAAGCTTGTTTTTATGTATTAAACGTATAATTTTGAAAAATAAAATCATAACTGAAAGGTGTAAAAATTATTTATTGTTCACTCTGACAATCAGTATCTTATGTTATTAAAACTATCTCTCATTTTCCGATATTTGCCACCAATTTTACTTTTATTTTTGTATGTTTGTAGTGATTTTCACAAAAAAAATTCACGATCGACATTTTTATTTCGTCCAGCTAGATAGACTGCAACGGTGCGCTGGTTTTCAAGAAGGGGGGGGGGGAAGAAAAGGAAAGAAAACTGCATTTTTCTTTTTTCTAGGATACTTAAAAAATATGTTTTTTTGTAAAGACTATTCATTACTTTAACATATCTATACAAATGATGCTATGCATCTTTTTCTATTAAGTCAATGGTTAACGAGGTATTTATAAGATTATATTTTTAGTATTTCAACTTTAAGCAAAAGTTGCTCCAAACCATGAAATTGATGTTGTTCATAGTACATTTTGAATTTGAGCATGTTTAAGTTGAATTCGTTTTAGATTGTTCGAATTATTAATAAAAGTGTCTTTGTTTTAACAATTCTGAAAAATCGTTGACAACAGAAGTTGAAGATGAATTAATTGAGAATTTCATGAAATTGATATGAAGTTTAGATTGTGATCGATTTCATACAATTGTCAATAAGTGATAGCAGATCTTAATACATACAGAAACTTAAGTTATGTATTTTTCAGTCAGTTACGTTTTTTGTTGAATAAAAAGCGATAAATATAACAATACTTAATCTATCTATCTAATTTTCTTTATCTATCTAATTAAACTAGATAAAATTTAAATTAAATGCTAGTAAATTTTGTCTTATTTATAACCATTTAATGGGTACTTTTAACCAGTTAAACTACGCTAAGTTAGTTTTTTTCAATAAAATCAAGGATTCTTGGAGTATTTATTATTACCCCCTAACTGAACTACAGATACTCCACTTTTAGAAAAACCTTGTTTAATGAGCTTTAATTAAGTTGAGGTTTGTTACAGAATAAGTTGTAGTTTGGTTTTTAAACGATAAAAAAAGTTATTTTGTTTTTCTTTTATTTCATTATCATTAGTATTTTATTTACTTTTTTTAAAAATTTAAAAATTATTTATTTATTTCACTTTTGTATGTATTGCGTGAAGGAATACTTGTTGCCCTTCACTGTTGAAGATTTTATTATTATTCATAAAATTGTATATAAAAATTCACATAAAAATGAATTGTAAATAAACAATTTCTACCTCGAAGGGGAATTAATTACCTCCAGGATCAAAAATGTTGTTTTTTTCTTCTGAAAATGAGGTTTATGTTAGTTTAGTCTCTTTGATGTTTCCATTGCCACTATTTTTAAGAAAAAGATGGGCTAGACCATTTCTGTAGACATTTAATAGCTCTTGTACACGTTGTATTGAACAGTCTTTACGATAACTCTCTTAGTTTTTGAGATATTCTCAAAAATACTAAAAAAAGTTAATTTTCTTCCTCTCCTCCATGAAAATCCGAAGTGGGAAACCTAAGAGCTTTTTACCATTAAATAAGAAAAAGGTAATAAACGATTTGTGACAAGTTTAAGCTTATATTTATGTTTGGGTAAATCCCTGATTTTTATTTAATCATGGATGAATCTCAACTTATTCCTTAAGAAATATCTAGTCAATTAATATGGACTTAAGCTCATTAAACAAGAGAGATTTTCTAAAAGTGGAGTACCTGTAGTCTAGCTCGAAAGTTATGAAAATATCGGGAATGATTCATGATTTTATGATAAACAGAACTTACCGTAGTTTAACTGCTTAAAAGTTCCCTTTACATGATTTTAGAAAAGACAAAGTCCTGTATTTAAAGAAAAATGTATGTAGTTTTCAATGAAGTGATTAGTTCTAATATAGATCAATTTTTTTTTTGTATCGCTTTTTGTTCAACTGAAAACGTGGCTGACTGAAAAAATATAAAATTCAAGTTTTTTTTATTGTCTGTGTGAAATCAGACCATGGTTTTGTAATAATATTTCCTTAGGTTTTAAGGTCTGCTATCACTTATTAACAATTATATAACATCAATGTCAATCTAAACTTCATACCAATATTTTGAAATCATTAATTGATTGATATTGAATACAATTCTGTTGTCAATGACTTTTTAGAACCATTAAAGCAAAGAGACTATTAATGAAAATTAAACTGCTAATATATTCAGTGAATCATAAGCTTGTCAACTATAATATTTATACAATAAACAATCCGTTTCAGATTAATAATAAAACAAATATAAATATTGTGAATTATATTAACCTGTTATTAGGAATCTAATAATCGATTTAAAAGAAATTAATTAAAATAAATAATCAGAAAGATTTTTATTCCATATTTCTTTAAATATTATTTTTACTGAATAACATAACTTCAGAATAACCTGTTAAATGTAATAGGATATATTAAAAAAAACAAAAACAGTATTAGATACTTCTTCAGAGAATTGAATCTCTTAGTTCAAGAAGTGCAAAATCATTTTTACTGATTAATTATTACGAATAGAGATGTATTTTTAGTTTAAAATCTGTAGCATGGTACGGATTTAAACAGGGACACATTTTTTAAAAATTTCTGTAGTAAGTTTTAAAAAAATTCTTACTAATTCTAAAATGGTAAAGTATTATAAAATGCAGATTTTGCAAGTACTTATGACCAAGTTTTTATTATTATCTACCATCACTGAGTGTTTATTGCTTGTTAAAAATAGTTGAAAAACAAATCAAAGAAATATAAATAAGAAAAACATCAACAGTAAAAATGCAGATCTATAAGATTAGTGCCATGATTAAAATTTAATTGACTACTCGTTTTTTGAAATGTTTACGTGAAAAGATGACGAATGAAACAATGTCACTAGGTGATTAAAAACAGCGAAAAGCAGTCTATTGTTATTACTTACGGGGTTCACGTGATTTTCACAGATTGATGATGGTAAAAATAATATTTCATTGATAACAGCTTCGTGCATTCTATGGTGGCAACATATGTCATTTCGATTTTCCAGGCTTTTAGAATAATCACTCACGAAAATGATACTATATATAATCTAGCTTACCCCTTGTCTATTTTTTAAGTAGTATTAATGTTATTTAAATGTTTTCGGTAGCGGTGGGACAAAGAGAGAGGGTGCTAGGGGTAGGAGCTGTGACGTAACGCCTGAGCTGTGAACAATTGGAGACAGGAGACCGGTGTAAGGAGGGAGTGCTGTCAGTATGCCGACAGCCACACACACACTAGGAGAGGGCGCGCCGCAAATTCTGCTAGTGGACACTATTTCTTGGCTACTACCTGTCAACTGACACAGATATCGATCAGTTCATTCTCCAACAAGTGATATTCAGCTGTGGCATCGATTGTCGTGAGTGGGGCCCAGAGGGAGTGTAGTGTGACTACCGGGTTGAGATAACTGGACCCAGTGATATCTCGCGTCAGGTTGGGTGGGGGAAGTGCAGCTGCTCTACTCACATCACATATGCCTACGCATCGAGGGTAAATATGAACAGTCTTAGCTGAGAGGTTAGTTAGTGCGAAACGGCCTTCAGTAGCCCTACCGCCGTAGCGCCCTCTATCTACCCTACTCACCCGCCCCCCCCCCTACCGCCTCCCTCTCAGTGTATTGATCGACGGTTCTGTGCAGTAGCCTACCACGCAAGCATGTACAAACTCTCCGTGAATATGTCGCTTAGTGCCGGTATCTCTCTCTGTTATGTGGTTTATTGAATCGGGAAACGCGGTTTTGTGTGCCTTGTGTGAATTTTCGAGTGCCGGAGTGGCCGTACGGTTGTATCTATGAGAAGCCATGGAGGCGATCGTGGAAATGGCGGAGAATCAATCGTTAGGAGAGGGACTTGTGTCGGTGGAGACGGTCGATTCGGGGGGCCTGAGCACGCATGGCTTGATGTCGGGCCGCGGACTCGACATTTCCCGGCCTGTCGTCGCCAGGAGAGGAGTGCTTTGCGAGGACTTGGAAGTAGACGTCAAGGAGGAGAGTGGAGGAGAGTTGTCCGAGTGCGAAGAAAGCAAACAACTTTCTGTAATAGTTCAACCTCACGAGCAAGACGATTCTCGAGATTCCCGATTACTCAGTCCTGGAAAAATTTCCCCCTCCTCAGTGAGTGGGATTTCTGTCAGTGTGGCAGGTATGATAGACGCGGGTGATTTTCGTTCCTTACAACCGGAACCTACTTATCAGACTCTTACTTCAGTCAACGGGAGGATGTCTCCTCCTGGTTTCAGTCCTGGTTCCTCATATGCTACACTTACCCCTTTGCAACCTTTACCACCTATTTCTACTGTATCAGACAAATTCGCTTACGGACATCCGGGAAATGTAAGCGGCTCATTCACTGTTATGCAAAACAATGGACTGGGTTTAAGCATGGGTGTCAATTCTCCTTATGGTTATGATAAACTGTCTTCTATGGGAATGTCTCCTCACCATTATTCTCCAAATAATTTGTCAGGTATGGGGCTTTCTCAACAGCACTCGCCTCTCTCTCCACAGAGTACCTATAGCCAGAACGGCCTTAACTCTCCTCCCAAAAGTATGTCCCCGAACGGATATGATTCCCCGTACAATCAACGAGAATTAGTACGAGGGGGATTGGGTGGACAGAGCCCACAACTAAGTCCTCCTTCAGCCTCCTTACATTCACCTCCTAGCACCCTTGTTGGTGGTTTTACTAGCTCAGGGACGATTCCCTCTCTCAACGGCCTGACAACCATCACACCTCATACCCAAGCTCCTTCTGTGGTGGTCTCCCCCCATCATTCTCCACCAGCTCTTGTACAGCGAGAAGCTGTTGTTGTCACTGCTCCTTCACCTCCAAAACAACAATCGACAATTGCTTTAAAAACAGTGACACAACCTTCTTGCCCTTCAGTAGGCCCAGCAAGTAACGAATTAGAAGAGATAAATACAAAGGAGCTAGCTCAGAGGATTTCTGCTGAACTCAAACGCTACAGCATCCCACAAGCTATCTTCGCTCAGAGGGTCCTCTGCAGGTCTCAGGGAACCCTCTCAGACCTCTTGAGGAACCCGAAACCTTGGTCAAAGCTGAAGAGTGGGAGGGAAACATTTCGAAGGATGTGGAAATGGCTCCAGGAGCCAGAATTCCAAAGGATGTCTGCTCTAAGGCTAGCAGGTAAGAAATTTAAATTTCACTTCCCGCCCCCGAAGCTCCCTACGAGAGCGATGTAAACAGACTGGTATCCACGTGGCTACAACTGCCTAACTTTATTGATTCGAAACATGTGGCCACTTCCTACCTTCACCATCTAGCTATTATCAATATGGTTTTTAGGTTTACATATGAAAATAATGATATTGATGTTTAGCATTATTTTGAAAAGGGTAATGTAAAGATCATATTAAAAATTTTAAACATGAATATTAATTTTTTTCATGAAATACGTCGTAGACAAATTGAGCACGACGGATTTCATTTTTAAGGTGTTATTTTCATATTACAACAAACTTTTTTCAGTTTTGTCATGTTTTTATTTTGCAATTTTTTTTAACTTTAATTTATTTTTTAATATATTATTATTTACATCAATTCTATTCTTTGTAGCTTTTGAGTACTCTCTTGTTTATTAAATTGTCAACAGCATTTATTTTTATTTTGTTCAAGCAAACTCTGGTTGACGATTATTTTGATAAATATCAAGAATTTTTATTTTTATTATAAGTCTGCAATTATATTTTACTTATTGAAATCTACGTGTGTAGAAATCATATGAAAATATTATATTAATCATTGGATCATGTTTTAGCTACACAGAATTTTCACATTTTCTTTTCTCTTTTTCCAATAAGCATAAGCACTAAATTAACTTTTTAGATTCCAGATATTGACATGATAATTATCGTTAAATTAGTCATCAAAGAAGTGCTAAGCAATAATAATATTTTGATAGTTATAATTTATATAGTTTTCAACTGTTTGGTCGAAATAATTTAAAAACAAGATGGTGTTGAATTTTAGAATTATTGACTATTTATCCGACATCATCATCATTAACTTTATTTTTTTAATTGAATCATTATACAAAGTTAAAATCACTCCAATTTTCCATCAGTTCACACCTTCGATAAGCTGTTATAAAATGTATTTAAGTATTTTTAAAATGTTTATATTTTATTTTTTGTTGTAATAGCTTCAGGTTTATTATATATTAGGTTATATACGAGTATGTGCTACGTATCATTATTTAAATGTGTATTCTTCAAATTTAACTAGATGAGGAATGAATTTTTAACATTTTCATTTTATTAAAAACTTTAATACTATATATTCATCTATAAACATAAATTTGAAAACAAGTTACACATCAGAAAACCATTCTATAAACAATATACACACACGATTTTTTTATTTCAAATTTACTGAAAATTTCTAAAAAGGACAAGAACTAATGGATAACTATAAGTGAAAAAATTTGTTTTCTGATGTCGACGGTAAGGAAGTCTACCTTTTACCTACTACTGACTACAATCATATTAGAAATAATGAAATGACTAGTTTATTAACTCTCAAACTTTAACAATTCTCTTTAATAATTCCCTAATTTCAGGAAATCTCTCATTAGCGATCTTCCCCATCAGAAAAGAAAAGTATTTTCAACCGTACCTTCGTTGTCAAAGAAAATTATGTACATGTTGAGGTTAGAAATTGTGACGATAGGGGTACCGGAACTTAGGTTTCAAGTTTTGTGTATCCGGGATTTGGTGTCATCCGAGAAGGGGTCCCGCAGGCACTCTTAAAGACTGCTGTATCAAATTTCGATGAATATTTTTTTTTCTTGTTCACAGTTCCTCCCAATTTTAAGGATGTGTGTAAAAAATAAAGAAAAAGTAAAGATTCAAGAACTCCATTATTTAAGTTTAAATTAATGTGATAACGAATCCAATTTACTAATACACGTTAGGCGTTAGTAAAGTGTTTGTGTATATATATATACTTTTTTTTTGTTTTCATCCTAAGATTATTTATTCAATCCTACCAGTCGTGAATTATGTATTACATATCTGATCCTAAGCGTCAATATGAAGTATTGTATAATTTCTGAAATAATAACTATCTTTAATAATTCATACGCAGACAACAACTTTAATTGATTGAAATAACAAAATAATTGATAGGAAATGGTTACGTTAGTTCTAAAGACAATCAATTTAAGAGAAGTACTTAGCGTTTGTAAATGTAGCGTTGAAGGCTCGCCAAAATTGGAATTGTTCTTAATCAGTAAGTTTGTAAACGGACTAAGTTGTGACTAGTGACTAATCGTTTTTCCTCGACTACTTACGATGCTTTAATGACTTTCCAAAATACTTTTTTGGACAAGAGCTTAAAAAACTACCTCGGAGATAGATAAATACTCTTGGTGTTATCCAAATATACTTACGGAATATTTGACAGAAAAAAAAGTAGAGGGAATATATATATAATCATAATGTATTAAATATCTGTTTTGTTTTGTGAAGATTTATATATGATTTTAAAATAAAAGTTATAAACTTTATTACAACATTCATGCGTTTTCATGGAAATGATATTTTAGTTTGACATTTCGGCTCGAGAAAGTCTGCCATCTTTAACTAATTATTTGTTACTAGCAAAAAATACTATCAGTTTTTCTTAGGGTTTAAATAAATATTTTTGCTGTATTTATTTATTTTTTTTAAATACAACTCAAATAGCTTTTTCTTGCTGAATGATAGAGCTTTAGGATTGGAAGTCGTTTAATTTTATCCAGTGTGAAAAAATCTGTCATTGATAATTTTATTTCTTATTTACATCAGATTTTCAATGTTTGAAGAATTAAATTTATACTATATATAATGAAAAAAAAAAAAACATTCAGTTTTTATTATCGAATTTTAATGCCTGCTCACACTTAACTTTTATTATACTGACCTTTGAGGCATACAATTAAGTGTGAATAGACATTAAAATAAAGATCAAAATTTAAAAACTATGGAATATCATATTTTTAACAATAAACCTTCATTGCATTAGAATAAAAGACAAATAATGAAATAATAATTATAAATTAATTTATAAAAAAAAATATAAATTATGATAATATAGAGAAAAAATATTTAACTGAAGGATGTATATAATTAAAACTAGATAAAAGGAAATTCTCTTTGTATAAATAAACATGAACAATTTTTTTTATCATATTTTAAAACAATAATTAAATAATAAAAATCGAATAGGTAGAAAATAAAATGGAATCGTTTACCTATTTGTTTGGCGGAAGTTTATTTATCATTTGTACGACACAAATTTGCCAGTTTACATATATATATATATATACATACATCTTACCAAGTGAATAATAGTCTTTGATTTTAATACATTTCCACGCTGATTAAAATGAAACTACTTCCAACTCTGAAAATTTTAAGCTAATATAGTGTTTCAGTTTTTATCTCAAGCTACTAAAATAATATTAAAAAATTTTGTTTGCAACAATAATTACTATAACATGATTTTTAATATGTTGTCAAATAAATCAGAGTTATTCTATGCAATAGGTGATAAATGATTTTTAAATTTAAGCATCAAAAATGTATTCTAGAAAGGCAATTAATATTTCACAAAAAAAAAAAAATAATAAATAAAATCCATAACGGACCAGTATTATGAAAGATCGGCACATTCGACTGTAAACATTTAAAATAAAAATCATTCTGCTCATTTTTCCCTTGAAATACTATTTATTTTTATTTCATTATTCAAAAACCGAACATGTCTGAAGTAAATAAGGTCCAGTGAATCGATACATCAGATATTTTATCTTGTCACTATCTTGAAAACCAAGGAGTGCCAAGAAGGAGGTTTCATGGCACAAAGAGGGCAATAAGAATTTTTTAAGTCGTGGCACATTCTGACAGGTTTTTGAATTTTTCGAGGGGGGGGGGTACATTTCGACGGGATTATGAATTTTCGAAATGAAAAGTTATTACGCTAAAAATGTTATTAAGAAGAGAGCAATAAAATATCTTATGACGGAGGGGGGGGGGGAGAGTTCGATCGATCTTGGGGGGAATGTTCACCCCTGTGATAAACTACTTTATTTTTTATGCCCAAATATAAATGAAGTAGGGTTAACTTATTTTTTTCCGTTTATTTTGTTTTCTTTTTAAGTCAAGTTCTTAAAAATAACAAGCGGTAGATTGGGCTATTTGTTCCGAGAGACGTATTACCGTGAGTCAATACAAGTTTATGTTATTATTATTAATTTGACTTAAATGTTTGCCTTTGTGCTTCATTAATAGCGAGTGCAGACAATAGTTAGAGGAAACTGTGCCCAACATTAGCGTGATTGGTTAGTTTTCTCCCTTGTTTGACTTCTATAGTTATTGTTTCATAAAAATTTGGCTGAATTTGTTATGAATAAATATTTCGCAGGCTGTGAAGAAGATGTAGCCGAAATTTGGTATATATTGGTCGAGTAGTTTACGCGGTTAGTGGCTCCAAACTAAAAACGGACTGCTCTTTTATATGAGCCTTTCAGTTGACAGAAGGACTAACTCAACATTTTCGAGTAAAGTAATTTTAGTGACATTTCTAGTTAAAAAATTTATGATATCTCTACAGAAAGTGAGTAAGTTGATTGAAGAGTAGGCGATTGCAATGTTGAAATATAGAACTGTTAAAAAAATGTATAAAATTTCCCACAAGAAATATCAATAAAATTAATAACAAAAAATGCTGAAGTTGAATTACTGATTCTGTCAACTGAAACGCTCATATAATAGTATGATTTGCTAAAAAAGCAATTTTATGATGCGCGATAGTGTGAATTTAATTGAACAGATTATATATTTACGAAATATTATTATTTTCATGATGAATAATAATTGCTGTATCGTGTTTGATATATGTTGCATAACTGTAGAATAGAATATTTAGCTTTTAAAACCTATAAATCGAACTAATTTATCGAATATATTCATAGAAAACTATAAATATTTTTTAGAACTGAAATATATTTTCTAAAGAAGAAAATTGATAAAAAATTAAAATTAATAAATTAATTTTTTAAAGAAGTAAATGCACAATTTGCTTGTAAGAGTTACACACAATCGAAACTGGAAATTATCTTAGTCGCTACGCACCTCATGGCTTTTTAATTAAGAAATTAATTATATTTTTTATTATTTTATATTTGAACAACTGACCTAAC